GTCAAGAGGGGGCCCTAGAGCCACAAGGTCAGCTCACTCACTTGCTAGCTGTGTGAACTTGGGGGATACATACACACACACACACACACACACACACACACACACCTACCCCCTTGGGCAGGTATAGCCTGTGACCAAGAAACTAGGCCAAGTTCATCAGTGACCACAAAGAAGAAAGCTTAGTAACTTAATCTTACTAATTCCTAAGCCTAAGAGAGAAATACAAAGAACAACAGACAGCATCTAAGACCAATCAAACACTTGACACATTTGTGAGTCTAGCTTTACATTTCATTTTGTAATAAAATGAAGAAACATATGCAATAGAGAAACGCACTAGAAAGCAACAGAGCGTGTCAGAACCTGCCTTCTCCCCATAGGCCATCTTCAACCTGTCCTTCCACATGCTCCCCAAGAGTCATTTCCCTTGCAGTCCTGCAACCAAGGAGAGCACTGTAGTCCATTCTCCATGACTTCCTGGAACATGTACAAGTCGAGTTGCATAAGTATTTGTTGAACGGACTAAGGAATATATGAGAAGGCTGGAGAAATGGGTCTTGCAGAAGGCCTGGGTTCCATTCCCAGCACCCACCTGGCAGATCCCAACTGTCACTCTAGATCCAGGGGATCTGACACCCTCTTCTGCCCTCTGCAGATGCTGTGCACGCATGCTGCACAGACATACATGCAGGCAAGCATTCATAGATGTGATACAAATAAACCTTTAAAGAAAAGAACAAACAGTGAGAATGTAGTTTTACTCTTCAGAGGTAATAAAGGATCTTCAAAAGTCTTACCACTTCTTCCTTGCCGAATACCCTCCCAATTCTTCAATATATTTGGGCTATTTTAAAATGCAACTCAATCCTTACCATTAAATAACAGTGATTCCACAGGAAATATAGTGTCAGCAACATAATCCTGATGTGTTAACATTTTTATTTGAGAACCAATGTATACATCTGGAGGAGGTGGTACATGCCTTTTACCCCAGCACTCAGGAGGCAGAGGAGGCAGATCTTTGAGTTCGAGGCCAACATGGTCTACAAAGTAAGTTCCAGGACAGCAAGGGTACAAAGAGAAACCATGTCTCAAAAGATAAAAAAGAAAAGCAATGTAATGTGTATAAGTAAGTTTACCCCCACTGTCTCTTTTAATCATCACTGGTATTATATGGAAAATAATGAACTTTATTGTTGTTGTGTTTGTGGTACAAAGAGGAATGGGTGAAGTCCACACAGGCTTACATACAAGGCAAAAACATTTTGAGCTAAAAGGAATGTAGAAGCTGACCCTGTCCAGCCTCCACAGATAGAAATTCAGAATGGATCTGGGAAAGCTAGTCCTGGCTGTCAACTTGACTCTATCTGGAATGAATTACAATCCAGAAATGGGGACACACCTGTGAAAGATTTTCTCTTTGGTTTAAAGTATGTGAATCCACTTCTAGCCTGGACCTTCAAGGTAGGAGGATACACACCTTTAATATAAATCTTGAGATGGGAAGACACATCCCTTTAGTCCAAAGCTAAAGACATATCTTTAACCTGGGCCACACTGTCTGCTGGAAGTCTATATAAGGACATGGAAGAAGAAAGGTTGGTTCTTTACCTCCTTGCCCTCACCTTGCTAGCTAGTACATCCATTCCTTCTCTGGCACTGGAGCCTACTTCTTCAGAGTTGCAGCATATTCAGATCAGCTGAGACACCCAGCCTTGTGGAGCTGAGCAAGGACTAGATTCCTGGACTTTCCATTCACAGCTGGCCATTGCTGGACTGCAGTCTGTAAGCCATGCCAATAAATTCCCTTTTTCTGTAGAGATGCATTCCATAAGTTTTGTGTCTCTAGAGAACCCTAATACAGTGTCATTCTCTCTTTATAAGTTATATCCTGTTCTTTCTCTTTATAAAGCTCTGAACATTGCCTTAACCCATCAGAAAGAGAGGGGTATGCTGTCTGTTGGTGACAGCTAAATCCTGAATCATATACCTGTCTGGTTAGAATATAACTTAGAAACTTGCTCGAGAGAAAAGGGAAAGAGATATGACCTCCTCCGATGACACCCGCATTACCTAGAAAAGATAAGACTTTCTTATGTTTAAATTGCTAAACAAATTCTATCTTGATCATCTTAAGTGTAAAGGATACATCCTGCATTCCAAAAATCAAAATACCTAATCCAAACAGATACTATCTCGCCTCAGTTTAGAAGCCAGAGGAGAACAGAATTACCTCTTCTGTCTCACATCCATTCATCAACATGTAATCCCAGGCTTTAACTCCATGCCAGGCACAGTAGGCAGTGTAACATGTAATTATTTAGGATTTGCAAGGTATCCCTTTTTCCCTGAACCAAGATTAATAAAACCCCCATCTTAGATATTAAGACAGAGCCTTCACCTTAGCTGTCATCTCTGAGAACATTCAGGAAACTAACTGCAACTTCTAAGATCAAAGCGCTTCCCTCATCTGTCTTACCATTTCAACGCTATCAGAAGTTGTTAAAAATAGCATGCACACACACTCACGTACACATACACAAGCACACATGTGAGGGTGTGCACACATACATACACACACACACAAACACACACAACTCTTTTTGCCTTCCTTGGACGCTCCTCCAAATAAAATGAGTCAAGTGATGGCAACCAAATAAAGACCAATGGGTGACATCTCCACGCACAGCTTTTCTGTGGAACGTAACAACAAAAATGCAGAGTACTGTTTAAAGAGAAGAAAGGACAGACAGATGGACGGATGGATGGCACACCATTACTCCTGACAGGTGCATGAATAGGGCACTCGCTCTCGTCCACTCAGCAAAGCCTGCAGTTCAACTTGGAATGAAAGAAACATTTTTCCCTCCTCCTGGAAGGGAAATAGAAGAACTTAGGAATTGATTAATAAGATGCCTGGCCCAATCAAAGAAATTGATCCTGTATTTTTCAGAAATGGGATTTTAAACAGACACCATGCAGAGGTTGTGCATAAGCAAACAAGTTGTGAGAATGGAGTGATGTAGCTCACTGTTTTCTCTGAGCATGGATCAACGAAAAAGCACAGTAAAGCTACCTCGGGAAGGCGGGAGTCTGTTTTGTTTACCCTCCGGTCCATTTAGTAATGAAGGACTTTCTTCAGTGTTTTCACAGGGGTACCTAACACACTCACATAAAACCTGACCTGTCTCCTTTAAGACTTTGTTTTCTCCCCACCCCACCCCCAGTATAGCCAATGACTTTTATGGGACAGTTAGTTTCACTGCACTTGGGAATTATTGAAAGCATACTGAAAGTGACAAAACAATGATTTTATACAAAAGCCAAGCAAGGTGCTGGGGCAAAACAGGTAAAACAGACAGACCAAGTCAAAGTCAAACCCAGGGCCCAGGGACAGTGACCTAAACTCCCAGTGTAACCTTATGCTTACAAGTATTCATCCACCTACCCTGAACCCATGTCTAGATGGAAGGAAACCTGAGTAACTTTAACCCTATTTTCCCTCAGTTCTTTTAGTGGGCCTGGTACCTCAAAAACTGCTATGTGCTGAAGAACGACAACAGTCTCAGCAGATCATAAGAACCCTCGAATTCCTCTCTGAATCGCCAAGTACCCAAAATTAGCAGTACAAGTAAGATACCCTATACTTTCTTCTTATTTGGTAATTTTTCTCAGCAAGCTGGCTTTTTGTGGGGCAGATTACAAGACATAGCCATAGCATGGTATGGATAAACTACAGATCAACCAATCATTTAACTTTCAAAAGGGCCTTCTGCACATATTTGAGATTCATCAACCTACAAGGCACTTAAAGAATGTTCACAGATAACCTACTTAACCTGGTGCAGTGGTAACACCCCTTTATGACAATGATAGACGTTATTGTCATAAATACATAAACAGCAAAACCAAATTTCAACTGAGATTCTTTGATTTCGGCTCTGTTCTCAAGGTCGTGCAATAACTGGTCACCATCCTTGTCAGTTCCTACATATCTAAATAAACCCTTATACACAGGTAACATTACAACGCAGCCCTCTCTTTCTTGATCTGGAAAGTATTCAGTCTTCGTACAGTCTTAAGTGTAATTCCTAGAAGGCACTGGCAAATCTCTGCCAGGCCAATCCGCAATGGAAAACCATGTGTCCTACAGAATGACAGAAGGGCCAACGCTTCTAACCATCTACTTCAGCACTGCTTGGCAACAGCGGTTCATTCTAACACCATCAACACAGAAATTGTATGGGATCGAACACAGTTCATGTCAAAGAGGATCTGCTTGACCACAAACAGGCAGCTCTGTGGAAATACAATTTCTGGAACAAAACACGAGGCTTGCACAATTCTAGAAACACGTCTAAGTGTTCCGTTCCAGCGCTGTGCTAAAAACTTTTCCTACCTAAACTTCCCAGCACAGGGCTGATCTAAAACCGGTTGCCAAACCGTGCACACCATGCACAAAAGCGGCGTGCACCACAACCAGAGCCAGAGCCAGAGCCGTGGGGCAATGCCTGTCCCTGCCCAATCCTGCTCAGGCCGGGTTGCAATGTGGTTTAGTCCAGTCTACTTTCTGGTAATGTGTTTTTAAAATCCCGCCACGACCCAGGTCATTCCTTTAGAGATCTAATAACAACCAAATGACCGGACCTGCCTAGCACTTAGAGAGCCATTCTGCTTATGGCTCTTTAATAGCACCTGGAGTTCTGCTAAGGGGAGAGCGGAAAACTCCAGCTTCCCCGGAAAGAAAGTCCTGCGCCGGGAGCGCGGAGAGGCGCGGGGAGCGTGGCCCCATCTCCCGCGGTCCCGCCGGTCCCCTCCGCGCCTTTACCTGTCAGCCCGGCCTCTCTCCCGACGCCGCCCCTCAGAGCCAGCCCCGGGAGAAAGCAACCCAAGGCATCCCATCCCAAAGAAAGAAAGCCGAGAGGCTGCTGCTCCAGGCAGGGGGCCATGGGCCACCGCGAGATCCGAGAGGCGACATGCCGCCCGCGCCCCGCACCTACCAGATAATCCATGTACAGAAACGCCTCAGTTATCCGGAGATCAGACATCCGGCAGCCTAAAGCATCCGGAATGGCTCCGAACCCGGAAAAAAAAGCGGCGTCTCAGGCTGCGAGCGAGCAGCTCCTGAAAAAGCCAGCAACAGCGAAAATCGCCGAGAGCAGCCGAGGAGCCGAAGATTACACCAGGGGAGCGGCGATTGGCCGGGAGGGCGGGCACAGGAAAAGGAGCGCGCTCATTGGCCGGAGCGCCTATAAAAGGCAGTCCCCCGGTGGAGGGCAGCAGAGAAGCGCGGGACCCGGGACGGTGCTGGTTCCTGTGTGCTGGGGGAGGGGTGGGCGGAAGCGCGCTGCGGCCCGCGGAGCTTCACCAGCTCCCTGAGCCTCCAGTCGGCTGGAGTCCAGGCAAAGCTCCCAGCCTGAGGCTGAAGAACGGCAGCGTCCCCGCCCACCCCTTCGTAAGAAACCAGCCTGCCCGGGGCGTTGAGAGGCAGAGTAGTCACCAAAACTTACTTTCTCTGCCCCGAGCGCCTTCCTGTGGCCTTGAGACACTCAGAATCTGCGGATTAGAAGGGCAGACACCTTAAAGAAGGCAAGCTGTGCAGTAGTGGGGACCTCGTTGATCCTCCAGGGTGTCTGCTAAGGCAGACAACTTGAACTTGACCTTCCTGCGTCTCAGCACCAGTACAGCCCAGGCTAGGAACCTAGAGACTCTCAGAAATCCTAAACAACCTTGAAGAAAGTCACAAGCAAATTGATCACCCCAAACACCGAAGGAGACACTCATCTGATCTTTGCATGCTTTAAAGTCCAGTTACATTGACCATGATCCAATGTATCTGACTAAAATGAGCAGTGGGATTGTGAAAGTCTTCCAAAGGTCCCAAGTAATACTGTTTGTGATCCTTAGGAAAAAGAAGTCAAAGAGCCGATGCACTTGAGAATTTTGAGTGTCCTAGTTAAAAAAAAAATCTTGAAATGAGTGAAAATGGGGTCAAATAATAGGTAAAGATAGCAGTCGTTTCTGGTTTTTTTTTTCCCTTCCCCTCCAAGGTTAAGGCTAGAAAGGGCGTATGCTCAGTCAAGACAAGGATGAGAGTAGATAAGCATGCCATTTGGAGTTGGGTATGGAAAGAAGTAAACTAACCCACTTCAAAAAAATGAATATTAAAAGTGTGCCGTATCTTTTGTACCAGTAATTCCATTTCTAGAAATTCTTAGGATAAGAGCTGTTATAAGTGAACATTTGCTGTAATGTTATAATAGAATCTTGTCGGGTGTGGTGGTGCCTTTAATCCCAGCAAAGAGACATGCAGATCCCTGAGTTCGACACCACCTGGACTACAGCAAGGCTACACAGAGAAACCTTGTCTTAGAAAAAAAAAAGAAGAAGAATCTCATAGTGATTTGTTAACATGGCACACTTACACAATAAAACTTTATACAGCTGTTAAACATTTATGAAGTTGCATAATATAGTGAAGTTTTTAGTGAATTCATATTCTTTGCTCAGATGTCACATGCCAAAGGAGTATTCTGTATGATAGAATTTGAAAGACTAAATTGCAAAAATACTATTCTGTTAGTTCCTGCCAAACACTGCTGTCCTTTAAGATGGAGGTGACTGAAGGTTCCCTCCATCCCTGCCCCTACATACACACACACACACACACACACACACACACACACAAACTTTCTGTATGAATCTTCAGGTAACAAATATCTCTGAAAGTTTACCCCAGGGCAGTGAAAATAGTTATTATAAAAAACTGTATAGTTCATTATAGAAAACCATAGAATTCACCCAATATCCACATAATCAGGAAAGGTGTGTAGCCCCTTCTGCTCTTGGCTCCCAAGCCATGTGACTAGATGCATTATCTAATCTCTGAACCTCTTTGCTCAGATAACAAATGAGGAAAGATGACTTTCAGGGTAATTAAAGGACTTTGATTGTGTACATACACATGTACAGGGCTGGCCTTTATTGATATGATTTTCAAGGTATATGTGTTTAAGTAATAACTTCTAGCTGGGCAGTAGTGGCGAAAAACCAAAAAAAAATTAAAATAACTTCTTTTTTTTTTTTTTTTAGGGGGGAGGGTTTCGAGACAGGGTTTCTCTGTGTAGTCCTGGCTGTCCTGGAACTCACTTTGTAGACCAGGCTGGCCTCGAACTCTCAAACTCGGAAATCCGCCTGCCTCTGCCTCCCAAGTGCTGAGATTAAAGGCGTGCGCCACCACTACACAGCAAGTAATAACTTCTTGAAAGGAGTAATTTGGTTTTTGTTTGTTTTGTTTTGTTTTGTTTTGTTTTACTCCAGGGCTGGGAGTCTCAATTGTATTAAGCCGGTAGATCCAATTTTGATTTTTTTTTCTTGCCATTCTGTTAACTCAAGCACATGTAAGTTTAGAAAAGATTTTTGACCTGGATTCAGAAACTGAAAGACTTCCATAAACCTGGTCTTTGTCACATCTGGTTGAAATTACAGAAATCAAAAGCTATCCAAAGGTCTAGCAAAAGTAACTGAGTCAAGCAACGATTTGTTTGTTTTTTTTTAATTTTCATTTTTCTTTCTCTCCATGATTCAGCATACCCCAAATGAGAGAAAGAGCTGAGTTAGCAGAGAGACTTTCCATCCATTGTCTTTGTGATTATGTAAAGTTTTAAGAGGTCTGGTGATATCTATGCACAAAACAAGCATGTGGGTCCACTCAACTTCTGCATTTCCTTTAACAGCTAAATTTAGGAAAACATCATTAGGCTAAATAATAGATTTTGCTGCCTCTAGGAATCAAAATCAGTAAATGGACTCAAAGCAGAGACATGGAAAACCCTATCTACAGAAAAGTTCTGAAGACAGCATCATGACACTACCTTAATCTGAATCATTTGCATCTTTATTATGACTGTTAAATGAAATAATATGAAAATATATTCAGTCTAATGTATTTCTAAAATCATATTTTGCATTTTGGAAAAATCTTTGGGGAAAAAAAAACAGAAGCTCCAGCAGAACTCCATATGGAGCATAATTTTTCAATTAGGTATCTTCTGAGATGGTAATAGAATAGACTATTCCCACTGAATAGAGGGCAAATGCCAGCTCCACAGTGATGGTTCCAGCACAAGGTATTACTAGTGGTGGTTGTAGCTGACGGTGTTGGTAGCAAGGTCCTTAGTCACATCGTGAAGAAATTTGGGATGTGTTTATTCAACTCACCCTACTACATGCCAATTAACAGGCTTCGGTCCTCGATAAGGTATGAGCTCATTGAGTCCTGCCTTCTTTCAGTTAAGAACAATGACTCTCTTCCAGATGCATAAGAAAACAGGTATAAACTCATGAGGCAATTGCATTACTACACAGGATGTGAGGACCCAGGTCTCTGATGCTGCTCGTTAAAACCAAGAAGTTCTTTTGACCGTCTACTCCGAGATCCCATAAGATCTGCCAGTGAGCCTTTCAGGGGAAAGTTTGTTATTGCTATTGGTAAAGTGTCAATCTTAGGCAGCACAAACAAATGTATTTTTACAACTTGGTCTTCTAAATTCTACCATCCAGGAAAACCAATAATGGCTACTTCCACCTACTCATTTGTTGTTCATTTGTTTAAAACGTAACTTTCCTTCCCACAATCCTCTGCATCCATCCTTTCCTACTCGAGCCTGACAGATGGCTCCTGCCAAGAAGGGTATCGAGAAGATGAAGGGCCGTTCTGCCATCAATGAGGTGGTGACCCGAGAATACACCATCAACATTCACAAGTGCATCCATGGAGTGGGCTTCAAGAAGCATGCTCCTCGGGCACTCAAAGAAATTCGAAAGTTTGTCATGAAGGAGATGGAAACTCCAGATGTGCGCATTGACACCAGGCTCAATAAAACCATCTGGGCCAAGGGAATGTTCCATATCACATCTGAGTATGTTTTTCCAGAAAACGTAACAAGGATGAGGATTCACCAAACAAGCTCTACACATTGGTAACTTACGTGCCTGTTACAACACTCAAAAATCTACAGACCATCAATATGGATGAAAGCTAACCCGCTGAATGTCAAATAAAGTTGAAGAACTGCCAAAGAGAGGGAGGGAGGAAGAGAGAGAGGAAGGAAGGGAGGGAGGAAGGAAGGAAGGAAGGAAGGAAGGAAGGAAGGACGGGAGGGAGGGAGGGAGGGAGGGAGGGAGGGAGGGAGGAAGGAAGGAAGGAAGGAAGGAAGGAAGGAAGGAAGGAAGGAAGGAAGGAAGCTGCCTTTAGTAGTTATGCATCATACATGGTAACTCTGAACTTCACTGGGACAGGAAATGCCCCATTAATGTTTAATGGCTACATAAAGTTCTCTTTTATAAATATACTATGTTAACAAATCCTCTGTGACAGAGCATATTATAAATATTGCAGTGAGCATTTGCTTATAAAACTATCCACAACTCTTTATCCTGTGCTCCCATGCAGGCGAGTCACTCTGCTTACTCTGTACAGAAACTCTGTCAGTTGAGAGGCCACGCAGTAATAAAGGGCTTTATTACAATAAGCCAGCTGGTCGGAGAAGGTGGGGATTCTTGTCGCTAAAGAGCCATCTTGCTGGGAAACTCGTGTACAGGCAGGTTATAAATAGGAGAGAGTGATCCTAGATTGATGGGTACCTTCTCACCGGTGGAGGCTTACTCAAGTGATGTCTATCTAACTGCAATCAGTTAGTGATGAGGGGTTGCTCTTTGCCTGCAAATGTCAAGAAGAAAGATCATTCTCTCTGAGCTGTTGCTGTCACTGATTAGCACGCCCACTTTCCATTCCTGACCTATTTATACAATAGACTGGCTAGAGAAAGTAGCTGCCCCAATGCCAAATTGATTGCCAAACTCAATGTAAGAATGCAAGAAAATCTACTTCTTGTACGGTTGTTGCAAAAGAATCATGTTAGGAAAAATGAGCTCTAAGGTTCAATGTGGAACTGCACTGAGGAAGTTGCTAGGCACAGCACCATTTTTTTTCAGCTTCTGAGGATGCCAGCATCCCCTTACTTCTGGCAGTATCACATCACTCCTGTCTCTGCCTTTGTCACCTGTTCTTTTACAGTCTAATCTCCCCTG